CACAAAGAGCTTTGTGGCTGGCCCGACCTCACAGCTGGTGAGAGGCAGATGGGCCATCTTCCCGGGCCTCTCGAGCTTCCAGGTTTCTCCCCTCCCACAGCACTTTGACCTGCAGAGGCTTCCACCGTCTCTGAGTCTACCACCTCCTCCTGGCCTCTCTCACTTCCCAGCCAAGTCCCTGAGGATGTGTCCTGGCAAGTCTACATCTGAACCTCAGTGTGTCACCATCCCACACCCCTGGATCCCCCCAGGGGGCCTGCCACCACCTGAAACTCCTTCCTAAATCTACGTCTCTGAGTCTCGCTCATGCCTCCTTCCCCTGGCAAGAGTTGGCCATCGGAGGGCCGGCCACATGGGCCTGGAGTCCAGGTGCAGAGTCCATGGGGTCTGTGGGAGTCACTGGGAGGGAGGAGACCACAGTGCCTCTTGGAAGCCCAAGGCCAGAGAGGAGTCCAGGAAGCCTGTTGGTGGGACTGTCAAAAAGAGCCCTGGAACAGACTCTATGTGCCCTACAAATACCAGGCTATAGTACCTGCTTTATTTGACTGGCATAGGGATTAAGTGAGACAGTACACAGAAAGCTTTTAAAGTAGTGTCTGGCACAAAGTAAATACAATTGTTAGCAGTTATTAGGGCTCCTGGCCATGGCTGGCTGGCCCTGGATCTGAGCTCAAGTGGCAAATGTCGCGCATCAGGGACCGTGCTTACCTTGTTTACTGGGTAATCCGACACTGGTCATGCTGCCCTGTTGGGTTCTTTTTTGCTGTGGTGACTGAACAGTGCTGGACACAGAGCAAACCGAACGACTGCTTCCTGCCGAGGCTCAAGAGAGTAGGACAGGCTTCCTGGCTGACTTAGCACATTGTCTTTTTCAGTATTTGTTCATTCATTCAACAAAATCACATAGAGCATCTGTGATGGGCACTGTGTGATGGGGCTCAGTGATGAGCAAAGCAGCCAGCCACATCCCTGCCCTCTCCAGGCTTACAGTCCAACAGGGGGCATCAGAAGGTAATCAAATGTGCACAGAGAAATGTCCACTTGCAACCGCCATAGATGGGGGAGGAGTCATGTTGCTCTGGGAACTTAAAGAGTGCGCAGGGCCTGGCCTCGGACCCAGACACTTCTCAGCCCTCCACGGCCCCCACCTGGTCCAGAACCCCACCATCTCAGCCCTGGGCCACTACAGTTAACTCCTCAGGTCTTCCTTCTTCTGCCTGCTCCATCAGTCATATTTGCTCACAACCGTCAGGGTGATGCTTTTCTCCAAGGGCTCCCCACATCACTCAGAGCAAACGCCAAGCTTCTTACCAAGGCCAACAAGTCCTGAAACGATGACTCCATTTCCTTTCGGGTCTCATCTCCCTCCCCTCCTGCCCTCGCTCTCATCTCCAGCTGAACTGGCCTCTTGCTGTTGCCTCAGGACCTTTGTACTTGCTGTTCCCTCTGCCTCAGAAGCTTTACTCCAGGTACCTTCAAGGCTCTGTCGCTTCTCTCACATCTCTGCTAGAACATCACCTTTCCTGGAGATCTTCCTGCTATATCACAGCACACATCTTCCCTTGACGTCCCTTACCCTGTTTTGCTTTTCTTCCCTTGCCGTATTTTGTATTTGTTCGTTGCCTCCCCTTTTCCTTCTTTACTTTGCTTTGCGGCACAGTGCCTGGCATGTGGTCGATGTCACGTACACATTTGTCGAGAGAATGAAGAAATGAACAGTGATCTGAGTTCTGAAGGAAGATGATGAGGTAACCAAACAAGGGAAGGGAAACATTCCAGGCTCAGGAAACAGCCCATGAAGAATCCTTGTAGCCAGGAGACTATGTTATATATGAGGAGCTACATCCCTGTGGTAGTGCTCGGGAAGTGAGGGGCAGTGAGTGAGTGGAGGCCTGGTTGGCAGGGGCCAAATCTCAAAGCCTGTTGAGTTCTATGTGGAGAAGTTTGGTCTTTGTCTTAAGAGAACTGGGAAGCCATTGAATGTTTTATACAAGGGAATGACAAGACCAGATTTGTTTTTCAAAAAGACCGCTTTGCCTGCTGGGTGGTGAATAACAAGAGTGGAGGTAGGCAGACCAACCAGGAGACTATTGAAATAAGAATGTAGCTTGGGCTTTTTTTTCTTAAAGACTGTTACTATTTGTTGAGCACTTACTGTGGTGCTGGGGATCCTGCTAGGCCTGATACACCAGTCATCTCGCTTGTCCCTCACAGCAGCCTTTGCAGCAAGTAGATTTATTATCCTAACTTTGTAGTCAAGGAAACTGAGGCTCAGAGTGACTTTCCCAAGGTCACATCAGAACTTTGGAAAGGTTTAAGATAGAATGAACTTTTGTTATTTAAGATTTTACAATGGAGGTGTCATTAAACACAACAAAACACCCAGAACCCACATCTTTAATGTTCAATTTGATGAATTTCCATGATTGAATACATCTGTGTCACCGTTTCTCAAAAGAAGATACAAAATATTTGCATTCCCTGGAAAGGCCTCTTGGCCTTCTTTCTAGTCAATTCCCACCTCGTCCCACCACCCAGGTAACCACTTTCTGATCCTATTGCCAAGATGGCTCTGTGTTCTTTTTCGGTCTGGTTCTTTCATTCCCACACAATACCTTTGAGATACATGCTTCTCATTGCTTATGTCAATAATCCTCCCCCCCCCCTTTTTTTTCCCCCGGGGAGTATTCCCTTGCGTTGCTGAACCACAATTTGTTAATCCCTTCTCCCACTGGTGAACATTTGTGTTGTTTCCAGTTTTTGGCTATTATGAAAAATGCTCCCTTAAACATTCTTGTACAAGTCTTTCTGTGGACA